GATAGATAGATAGATAGATAGATAGATAGATAGATAGATAGATAGATAGATAGATAGATAGATAGATAGATAGATAGATAATTTTATGCTCTCTGGTTACTTTTAGTTTGTTTATTTTTTGTTTGTTTGTGTTTCTGCTAACAATTGTGTCTGTTTTACTTTTTTCAAGTTAATATTTTTTGTTATCTTATAATTTCATTTAAAAATCTACTTCAAATTAAAAATAAGTTAATAAAATCTTCTGTGAATGTTTTTTTTTTTTTCCTTCTACTTTTGTGTTTTCTGAAAACTGTGGAAGTACATGTGTATGGTCTATGAAAACAAGGTACTGGGGGGGGGGGGGTGAAAAAGACACGGGTGACCAACAACTACACAAACTGTTTTACTCCATTCATTTATTTAAAAAATAACATTTGCAATAATAATAATAAAAATAAAAAAAAAATAGGTAGAAACACCAAAAACTCCAAGTTTGCTCAGTTTGAAACATGTGTGTAAAGCTCACCTCCTGTCATTGCAGCACCGTGGGGATTCAGGGGCAGGAGATGGGCAGAAGGAAGCAAGTAGGTGGGTGGGAGGCTTTGGGGGGGTTGGAGAGAGGTGAGTAAGAGATGACTCAACAGCCCTCTACTATAAGATATCCTGATGGAGCCCAACAGTGTCACACACTCAGACGCCAACCACGGTAAGGTCAACTTTTCACTCCAGTCTTTCTCCTGTACACTCTCAACTTTTTTAATGTCATGTTTGTTTTTTGTCTAATAAACAATACACATGTTTGTTTAGCAGTTAATAACCTTATCAGATTTTTTTTTTTTTTTAATTAATAGGTTGGATATGTGAGGGATGTTGTCACAGTCCTGGTTGTTTGATAGAGTTAGCTCTTATCTCATTTTTTACTGATAGAATAACAGGGAGTACAGGAACGACCAACTCTGTCAGCTGCGGTTTGTGATCTTTGTACCCGTTAGTTTGTTTGTATCACAAATATTTGCTGGAAGAAACATTAGTGAATTAGAGGAAGTAAATTTGTGTACTGCACTTGTGTAAACGTGAATAAGTCATGAATGAATGTTTTATTACAAAACAAATAAAAACATTTGAGTTTGGATCGTAATATTGTGATTTTTTTTTGGTTTGTAATTTTCTCCTATAGAAACTTTGTTCTTGTGTCGTGCACATCCAAGGAACCATCATTAACCATCATTATGGACTACACACCGGTGCTTCTGATTTTTGTCTTCCATGTTCTGACGGGGACAGGAGCTCCTCTGGAAGAGGAGCAGATTAAAAGCAAAGTGGAAGAATACACCAACTTGCTGATAGTTAGGCTGAGCCAAAACTTCCAGGTATTATTTGGAGTTCTATTTATGTAAATTTACGGTTTGAAACAAGAAAGTTTTTGAAAAATTGTTTTTGACTAAATTATGTTTTTTTTTTTTGTTTTCCAGACCCCTCCCATGCAAACACTGAGACCACCTATGAAAGAACTGGGAGGACTTTCCTCTATAGTGGCGGTCCTGGAGGGCTACAACGACCTCATCTCAGACTCTTTGGAAAACGTCACTCAGATCAAAACTGAGCTCTCCATTCTGACAGAATACATCCACCAGTGGAGCGTGGAGCACTGCAACGAGCAGCTAACAAAGCCTCCAGAACCCGAAGCCCTGAGAAGCCTGCAGAAACTAAAACGATTTGTTCATACGGTGGGCATAGAGGCTCTTATGAGAGTCAAGGAGTACCTCAATCTGCTGCGAAGAAACCTCGATCACCTTGATATTTGTTAAAAGACGAACTCTGTGGCCAGTATCTGAGATTTTGGCCTGATTTTTGGACCAAACTTGACAAATCTGCACCGATGGGTGTGCTACTTTACTAGTCTTAAGGAAATTCCTTAAACATGCACTTACTTTTTATATATTTAGTATTTATTCATGGTATTTTTTGAAGTATTTTCTATTTTCTGCCAAAGCAGGTGTTCAATGTAAAATGTTTTTTTCATGTTTAACCGTTTCTGAACAGACAGAGTTCTCATGCTGTAAATATATTTGTATTATGTCATCTCTGTCGAGTCAACAAAGAGCTCTCGGTTTCACCATGGTAAAGATGAATCAGCAAAAAAATGCTGAGTAAGATGAGAGAAACGTTGGCAGGACTGATCCCTGGAAATTCCAGTGAGCCGGGCTGAAACTTTAACATGAAACCAACAGGAAGGATAAGGTCAACGTTTTGTCTGGTCCAATATCAGCATGTTCCAAAACAGGCGATTTAGAAGCACAAACAATGCGCTGAATACTTTTGTGGGGTTTTTTTTTTTTACATTTGGTACTGTTTTATAGAAGTATTAATAAATATTAAAACTTTTTTACTACTTGTCTTTGTTGTGTAATGCGGATGAGCAGAGAAAAATCCAAACTAAAGTAGAAAATCCAGTTAAACCAGATTTTCTACTTAAAAAAAAAAAAGGAAATGTATGACAGCATGGATTAATCTAACAAAATGATTAACAAGAAAACACACTTTTGATATATATGTATTTTTTTAAAAGCCACATTCACAAGAATTTATTTTTGATTTTGTTCAACTTATCAAAACAAAAACAGTAAGATTGATGTAAAAATTACAACAAAAAAATACGAAGGAAAAGTCATCGAAAAACTTCCTGTACAGTTTAAGAAATATGAAAACAATATTTGAAACTCTGTTAAACAGATTATTGTAGATTTCCCTCAGAGATCTAACTATCAAACCACTTGCTTCTCTTCATTGTGGCGCTCTTGCCGCTGCCCATCAGTTTCTTCTTGTACTGCGCCACCAGAGACTCGAAACGATCCCCGTCCCCTTTCCTGAACTGCTTCCTGGCAGCTTTGGCCGTCTAAAAAATTATATTTAAAACAGTTACAAGGTGAAATGAAGCAACATCGAGAGAAAAAAAAAAAGCAATGTTTCATAGTAAAGCACGTGTTTTATTCTTGTATTGTCCTAAAACACTTGCATACATTTTTTATTTCTACTCTCCTCTTTGTAAATATTAAAATGATCATCACTACAGCTTCTTTTTAAGCATTGAGATTCTTACCTTATACTATAACTTCATCTTAAAAAGTGTTTTTTTTTTTTATAAATCAGTGCACACAACAAATAAACAGAAATGCCACAATAAATACAAACCTGGGTTCTGGGCTGCGTTGTCTTCTCAATTTGTCGTCTTTCATGTCTGTTCTGTTTCCATCCAGGCTTTGCTTTCTTGGCAGGTTGAACTTGTTGCTTTTCTTTGTCACGTTTTCTGAAAAAGATAAAGAGTTCAAAAGCTGCAGTTCATTTCAGATATTAATCATCTGCATTGTTTATTCAGCTGGCTGTCAGGGCTGATGATAGCAACGTAAACTGAAGGTGACATACACCTGAACTGTCGATCCTGATACTTTAACATGTGTACAAAATATATATATATATATGTTTTTTTATTTTTTATTTTCACAGATTGAATTTGTTCTGCACCGTTTTTATTGTTGTTACTGATCTTAATGTTTTACAGTTTTGTTTTTTAAATGTTTAAACTTTCTTGGTTTTATGAGAACAGTACTTTGTTGCATATGTGGTTGTTTGAAAGGGCTTCATAAATAAAGTATTATTATTCGGATATAAACATTTAAATCCTTTTATAACAAGGTCATCACAAACTCAAGAAGTGTAGGGTGTAGACAGTCAGTCAGTAAAATTGAGGAAACTACCTGATCTTAGGTCCCCGATGAGAAGGAAAAGTCAGAACCTTCTTTCGTTTCTTTCCGTTTTGTAAATCCACATGCTCAACCTCAGGTTTGGTCTGGAAGCCCGAAAATTTTGTTTTTTGTTTCTCCCCTTCAGGAATTCATGTGTAAAAACAAACAAGCAAAAATAAACGTTTAAGTAAATAAAAATATGAATGGCAATAAAAAAGACCCATTCTAACAAGTTCATCATTTTTATCTCATCTTTAGTTTCCACCTAGACTGGAAAAAGAAACATCTGTCTTATATTAGACCAGTTCACTAACTAAAATACAACAAAGCACAAACCCAGAGCACAACTGTGGTTTCTTTAAATCAACTATCACTACTAAACCTCAATTTTATATTAAAATATTCTGGAGCAATAATCCAGTTTAGAATCAAATGTTTTCAGCACTATATTTAATATTTACAGAAATTAGTTGCAGGAGATATTACTGTAAAACAACCAAAACCTGCAGAGCAGGTGGTTTTCAGAACGTCAAAACAAAATAATTGAGATTTATTTTGTACAACGGTGAGTCATTTATATATATATATATATAAATGACTCACCGTT